GGGCCGCGGAAGGTGCCGTCGGAGATGGGGCGGGCGGGGAGGCTGTCGGAGCGCCCCGGTTCAGAGAGCATCCATTTCCTTCCTCTCCCTATCGATCTCATCCCCACCGCGACGGCGTTTAAACTCTTGCAAGATCCTCTAGCTTAGCACGTTCCGACCACTCTCGCACATCTGATTTCCTTCAGATTCAATCACGGCTGGAACAGGCAGAGCAGACAGACTTTAGACCACGGAGCAGTTAATATGTCCCAGATTTAACGTAAAGATAAACTAACTCCACAGCACCGTTCGTCGGTGACAGGCATTAGGCATTTTCTGCTTTCCTATCGATTCCGAGCGACAGACTCTGCAGGGGAAATTTTTTTCGTGGCGCTGAATTTTTCTCAGACAAATTGCCGTCTCTCCCAATGTGGAGAGAGTTAGTGCTCCTGCGGCGGTTTCCTTGTTGGGTTGGGTTTTTTGGGGGGTTTTCCTTACTCCTTCCCCCTTTTATTATTTTTTTTCCCCCCTTTAATCAATTATCTCTCTGTCACGTACCCACATTTTCCCGTCTGGAAAGCACTTTTCCAATTTTAACGCTGATAACCTTATTTGAAGGGATAATTTATCTCTAGGGTATATTTATTAGTCAGCGCCTTCCTCAGAATCTCTGACGAAGCAGCTATTGAAATTAGGGATACATTTGCATTTTAGGGGTAGGTAAAACGCGATAGTGGAAGCGGTTACGTCTCACGAATGGCAGCTATTTCCTCTTTAGATTAGATCAGAAATCTCAGCTGTGCCACTTGATGGCCCGAGCAGGACCTCCGAGGCTGTAACACAGACAAAACACACGACCAATTTCTCGCTCTCTGTTACCCAGAACAGAGAAGTGAAGCTGAGATCCCATCCCCCGAAACCATGAAATTAGCCCCCTGATTTTGTACAAAGAGGATTTCAGTTCTGTTTCCTTCAACGGAGCGTGTCACCTCGTTTTGTTCTGCGGAAAAAAGCCCCAACAAAACATCTCCCAACAAGAGAAAAACAACAACAACAACGAACACAGCAAAAATCTCAATAGCTCTTTCATTTCCCAGGGCATCCAGAGAAAATAATATCTGGGTTCAAATCTTTAATAGATTTACTCTCTGGAAAGACACGAAAGGATCTTCCCCGCGATTATTTATGCACCTGAATACGATTATTATTAAAGTTGCTGCGGCTAAATGCATCGATGTTCATACAAAGGTTCGGTTTAATTCTCTTTTTATTGCAGCTTCAGCGCATAATGGGTTGGGTTTAAAGGGGGGGGAGGTGGGGGGCAGGGTAGGGATGCAGCGCTGAAACCCATCAGCATCCAGCGTTCGAATAACAACGCGATGAATCTCCCGAGCGCAGCAGCTGAGGAACACTAATAATTCCTAACCCCGAACAGCAAGGAAGGGCACAACTTCATTTTTTATTTATTTATTTATTTATTTCCCAAAAAAAGTTGTTTGTTTTTTTTTTTTTTCCCCGAGCGAAACCCAGCGCCCCGGGAGGGTCCCCCTTCCCGCTGCGTTTCGGAGGGGCTCCCGGTCCCCGCGGCGCGGTGCGGGGAAAAAGCGGGAGGGGTGTGTGGGGGGGTGGTTCTCATTAACTTTTTATTGAGGGACGCATCAGCCCGGGGGCACGGGGACTCTTTCGGCCTAGGCGCGGGGTTCGGCGGGG